GTGCCTCGAGGCCCGCCTGCGACATGAGTTGGCGCCGTTCTCTGGCTGCCAGGATTGTAGATCATTATCATCAGATGTCCCCAGTCCACCAAGTCAACTACCTCCACTCCAAGAATCCAGGTTTATAATTAGTACAACCCCACGTCTAGTTTAAAACGAAGGCATCAATAGGCCACGCGGACATTGAGAAATGAGACTTGTGATATCGGATCCTCGTTTAAAAAAAAACTGTAGTAATCATTCCCATGTCATCATTGCCGTCACTGTACTTTCATTGCCGGCACTGTATCAATGTGCAACGACCTATGGCTTACCATAAGCTGAGGGAATGACAATTACATACTGGGTGAGATATTAGGACTATTATCTGGGCCGTCTTTAATATCAGGGGTATTAAGACTTTCAAAATGCACTATAGCCTACACGAAAAACCAATCTATAATTGCATTTGGTCATTTTCACGACTGTTGGGGCAGGTTTTGCACCTCAAAGTAAGAACCATAGGTTAGTGCGTCCAATTACGGTTCACTTTTTTTCGCTCACAATACGAAGAGTTCATTCCACAATTCGGCGTGCATTCAGTGTTTTGTGTGATCAAAAAAATCTGATAACAAAAATGGTTCAGCATCTCTAGTGAGTGTCCATTGTGACATCAAGGTGACGGGGGAGTATGATAGGCCTATCGTTGATTACCAACATATTTTACTGTTCAATCCGTAGCATAATTACGGAGGTGAGTATCAGCCTCCCCCTCCCCCCTCAGGGACTGATTGGGTTTATCTGAGGCCTTCTACAATAAAATACCCCTTTAGAAAATTAGCCCCCAGTATGCCCACCACCCCTCGAACTCGAAACGTTAATGAATAACCACATACTTTTCAAGGTTTACAGAACAAAAGTTTAAATCTCAAATGCTACTCTTGCAGTAACAATCCAATCAGGAATCACGTGGCAGAAGACTTACCTTATATGAGAAAATCCCCTCCACATACGAAATCGCGCGTAAGCGATGTCATAGAAATCGTAGGTCTGGAGGTAAGCTGTCTGATACTCTGCTCCAAAGGACCTACCTAACTCGCTGCATTGAATCCGTAGTTTATGAGCAGAGCTACATATATAAAGGTGCATAGGCGCAAATAATGGGTTCGCGCACTGTCCACTTCAGAGTAATTTGCAATTCGTACCAAAAAATACTCAGTGCTGTAAACCTCTGACGGTTTTCATCATTAACAGTGACAAATTTACAGTTTCAGTCCAGCAGCTCATGATAAACGACCAAACGGTCGGGGAAGTACATCGGCATCGGACTAATCAACGACTAGACCTATACAACCGTTGGATCCCAGTTCAAGAGTAGTACAGCACACATCAATTGCTGTGCCACGACGTGCATACTTTATTCACTCGATTGTTTTTTACATGACGTCCACGTGCCCAGCGTTGTGAATCCAAGGGCGCTGGTAACTCGCTAACCCACCTTAATTATAGCGCCCTCATGAGACAATTAACACTATACAAGGCGGAATATAATGCAAGTACAAAAGTACGTGGTTGAATTTACCGGGATAGATTCCACATTCTAGCCTAGAGCATCAACACATGCGGATTCTGTGTTCCCCTTAGTACTATCACAGAAAACAAAAACTGTCTGTCCTGCACAGTATAATTTTACAGTGGGAACCTCTCCATTTCCCCTGATTTGCAATTCGTATCAGCCTACCATATTAATTGCAAAAGATCCGATGTTGAGCGCGGGCACACGTGGCCATTCTAAACGCGCTAAAATACGCTGTACATTCACTGCGGACGCCCCCCTTCAAGGCGAAAGTTAGCTACAACACAAAACAACTACATTATATACCTGATAACGGATTATCTTCACAATTGCTGGCACAATGCTGTCGCCATTGTAGGGGCCACTGTGAGTGTAGGCCTATACAGTTATAGCATGCTCGGAATGTTTTGACTACGTGTGGCCGGGGATGGGGGGGGGGGTCGAACCGGTTTCTATTCCGGAGTGCCCACAATCCTTTGCGACATCCTCCGCAAATAAACGTGGTTTCGACCAATGGAAATGGAAAGTAAAGTTGTAATTAAAATGGTGCACCCACACCAGCGCCAATTCCTCAATCAACAGCTCAGAAAATTGATCATCCTCGAATAATAGCCTATAGACTCACTCGGCTATCTCGGTAGGTCGGAGTTTACTGCACTTCTTTGTAAACTGTATAAATAATGACCGATTTCCTTGCATGTTTATGTTCCGCCCGCTTGCGTAGGTCTTTAACGTTAATGATCGACCTTTGCAATACTGTGAGAGTATTCTATGTCCCAAAATGGGAAGAAGGAATACTCTAAAAGTCTTGCAATAATTCAAAGGTCCATCCGTTTCTTCGGTACTTGATTGCCGTTCGAACGGGAAGTAGGCCTAATGGACGTATTGTTCATCATGCCACTTGCATGTCAGATATAGTCCATGGGCCAGATCAGATGTTCGTACCACGTAAGGTAACAGCACTTTAATAGTGTTAATTTCTGTGTCAACCGGCCACTAGGTGAACAAGTCAGGTGTGTTTACAAACACAAATGCCCCGCAACCAAATGCAATAGGCTTCTTAGGATTACCAAGAACAATCCACAAACCAAATTTGAAGTTCATATGTTTAGTATTTCTCAAGTTATCGCGCTGACAAGATTTGTCCGGACACACACACCCACCCACGGAAGGACAAGGCGAAAACAGTATGCCCCTTCGGCTTCGCCGCGGGGCATAAAATATATGATCGCCTTTCATAATGAGTATAGCTTAACATCTTTTTGATGCAGGTACCGGTACTCAAGCCAATCTGTAAGAGAAACGTCTCTGGATGGGCTACGTACAACCACCATTCCTCTCACTCGAGCGTATTGGATTCCCAGCATGCTTAGTCGAGTAGAAATGAATTTTAGTCTCGAGTAAGTGCATGATAGGGCTGGCCATGGGAGAAAAAAATGGGTTCTATCCAAAAATGCATATTCATGTTTAACACACAAAAATGACAAATTTTAGAAAACTGAATTACCATTGTAACAATGAACATCATAAGGAATTGTTTTTGTACCATACTGACCTTTGGTAGATGTTAGGAGAGATCACCGAATTTCATATCGATCAGCCAAAGCGTTCAGGGGTATAATAAGTTTCATTGTGGTGTGTGTGTGGGGGGGGGGGGGTCGTTTCCCCGCCCCCTGATACTCATAGGGTTAACGTTAAAAGGGGTCTGGGCATTCAAGGTGTGATATCCAATAACAAGCTGCGGTACTATATTGAAAAATATAAACTTTAGATGCACAGCAATCAAAAAATAGCAACTAGATTTTGCCACCTCGGATACGGTACCAATTGATGAAATTTGGGGTCCTGGCCCATGGACTGCCAGTGACCGAAACGTAGGTTCCAGCGGTGCACGCTTGCAATGCCCTTGGTACCAAGTATGGCGTATCCTAGCCATGGCGTATCTTTACTACTTGACCATTTCAGTTAACTTATACATCTTATTCATTTAGTTTATAATTATCAAAGTCAACTCTGTCACATGACAGCTACTTGACAGTCCGTAGCGGATAAACACACAGGCCTATTGGGCCGGGCCCATCAGACCCTCTCATTTTGGGGCATCCCAGGAAACGCTCAGTTCCCGCATTGCTTTTTCCAAAGACCATAACCTTATTCCGGCCCCGTTGGCACTGTAGGCCTAGCGCTTATATAGCTCTTTCTTAATAGTTAAACTAACCTACCGGTTAGTACTGCAAAAGACTACGATGCAAGAAGGTAAACAAGTTCAATATTTCTAACGGGCCTATTCAGACGATGTGTTTTTGTAATTCCGCCATGTGCGAATGTGTTTGACAGATTTTGCTGGACACTACTTACAATGTATTTGATTTCGTGGTGGCTACATGGCCCCCATAATCGAGGCTTTTAAAAGGGAAAATGTCAGTACACTATATTGATATTGTTGGGCCAATAACCAAATTGGCTGCACCGATAGCTTCTTATTAGGCCCTAAGCTAGTAAAACTTCCGAAGTTAAAAACTTTGGGTTGTACAATTTTTGTGTGTGCTGAATTTGCATTGCTTGCCGTAACATGGTGTGTCGGATTCATAATACGATCTTTATAGTTCTCGTTCACACATGCGTTTGGCAAGACAAGAGCAAATAGGTTAACTCCATGAGAGACAGTTGGCAATTATTTGTTAACAAGTCTCATACAAAATGTTGCTGGCTGGAAATTATTGCAGGAGGTGCATGAGATCTAGAGTCTGTACTAGATGTTCATAATAATATGACCCCACGATCATAATAATATTATGCAACATCCTCAGGCAATATGGGCCTATAACTTCCACGTGAAAGATGAATGCCTATAAAGCCTATATTAGTTAACGTATATTGCTCTATTTAGTTGGACATCTGGGAAGGGACTGAGATGGAACGAAATGATTTGGTGGAATTTAGACTATAGTTTTCGTTTTGAGACAAATATGTGAAAACCTCTTGATTTAATAATGCGCAGTAGTATCTACCAAAATATATGCAGAAAAACGGATTCAGTAATCGCCCTTTATTCGGTGCTAAAGTACGTCAGTATCATAACTTTCGTTCATGATTTTGTTCACGACTCAATGGCGTCATTAGAACGACCTCAATGTGTTCCCTGAACGAAAGGGAATTCTAGCCGTCACATCCGCTCGAATCTACGGCATCGATGGGGGAAAATATAACAAAGTGAAATGGGGCCGAGGAACTGTCAACACACCAACGACTCCCTGCCGCCTGAATCAATATTACAGCCATGACATAGCGGGCATAGTTCGACAGCTGGCATGCGGCAGTCTTGAGCCCAAAGGCACTGCCGTTCACAATATATTTGACGCGGTGCAGGGTTCCACATGATCATATTTCGGTCGCGTTGAACGCAGTTCATGACGTCTCAGTGTATTTTGACGGCACAACCGAGTTGGGATTTTGTGCAAAATGTTCAGCATTTTATTCAAAGTTGGTTAGCACAAAGTGACGAAAATAAATAGCTGAATAAAGATATTCAGTATTGATTCAGGAAATAAAACACAAGTTTCCAGGCAGTTATTGTTTCATTAAAAACCTGATTTCATTTTGACAAGATCATTTTCTAATATTGAAAACGTTCAGAAATCATTCTAAGCTTTGGGGCTAACCATTACCTCTTACTGGTGAACTTTTCCCCCAACCCTTGTTTGTTTTTAGTGAACGTAATAAATACTTCTGAAAGTTGTCCATGCAATATGAATGCAATGAGAAACAATATAGAAATCTGCCAGAATTTAGCTTCTTTCTGGAGCTGCAACCCATACCATCAAACTTCTAATTCGCAAACGAATGGGTAAGTGGATTGAAAGTTATGAGTTGGCATACTAGGACAGAAACTGAGCAAGAACATGAAACAAATTAAAACTAATGAAAACAAACTGTCGCAGATATTAACATTTTCAGGAGGATCAACACAGCGCTTTCCAAAATGAGGAATAAAAAGTAAGTATCTACAATTCCATAATATGCATAGTTCCTTAAATCCATACAAATAGGGCATGACAAAAGAGGCTTTTAAATATAGATATTGCATTATTTTCACTTAATGACAGAAAACATTTTTAAGAGAGAAACAAAAAATGTCAAAAGTCTTTAAAATATAAAAACAAATAAAAAGATCAAAAATGTGAAGATTTCGGAAACCTTTCATCAAAAGTTATTTCCCAAACAGTGAATATTGGAATATTTCCTTGTTAAAAACATGGCAGGAACGCAGAATATTCGAATGAAACCTTGTTAAAATAATCAAGGAAAACATAATTCAACAAAAGTATATAACACGTAATTTCTATTAAAGGTTTCTGAATAAAATCCAGTTATACCGTATTGAATTACTTTGCATGAAACAATGCCCATTTCACAAAGTACTTTCTGTAAATTGCCACATGGTAATAATATTGTAAGGTTTTTCCAACAGTGTGGGGACATTATTTTGCAACTGGTATTAAATGTAAATCCTATGGCACAAACACCTATGGCACAAACACCTATGCTATATTTGAGTGTTATAGTTGTCCTGTTCAAAATAATTGCCAATCAAAGAAAAAAAGGAGCACAGAAACTGACAGAACGATTCAAAGTTCAGACTTAAATTTTAAAGTGAGAATTCTGAAACTCTACACTGTGTACCTAAAGTAAGCAATGCACCAAGTTTTCATAAAATAGCTTTACCTTTGCAAACAGTGAAAAGGACACTTTTCAATGAAACACATGTACACTGAAAGTCAAACGAGTGTCCCATATTTGTACATTGTAGAGGCATAGATATGGCACCAGAATATGATTTTTTTATTTTTTTAAGTTCATTTCATGTGCCTTTGAATGCACTTTTAGTGATGTCAGTACATTTTCAATGTGATTTTGTTAATATACGTACAGGTACAAAGGCAGTGATCGTTTTTTAAATTGTCATATCACTGTGCCAACTTCAATAAAATATGGGACCAAATTACAGAAAAATGTTGAAGTTACACACGGAGCATGTATGTGAGGCGTCCTTGCAAAACGAGACAGAACTGGGCAGAGGTCGAAATGAGGGTTTGCAGGTATTGTGAAAGAGAATAAAATTCTCCTTACAATAGGGCTCGTTCAATGACGGCCATCTCTGTAGGAGAATTGCAACTGCGTATTATACGCAGTCAAGCCCGCATTGCGCAGTGTTGAAAATGTTCCAAACACGTGCGCTTGTTGCTCGAAATGTGTTCAATATACGACGCAACCGATGCACGTTATGCAAGTTGACGCTCAAAATGCTGATGCACGTGGATGGTCTGTAGGAAATATGTGACCCGCTCTGCAAAAATGAGTCACATGTCTCCAAAGCCACTTTTGAGCTAAAGGTCTTTGAAAGAATGTTGCACAGTGTTTAAGCAACTGGAATCCTCAACAGTTTGGTTTGATGAAAATGGACATTGTGTAGAATTTAAAATGTTGAGGATTCCAATTGCTTAAACACTGTGCAACATTCTTTCAAAGACCTTTAGCTCAAAAGTGGCTTTGGAGACATCTGACTCATTTTTGCAGAGCGGGTCACATATGGTCTGTAGGAAATAACGTCATTTGAACGAGACCTATACTGTTTGTTGCACTTCAATCGGACATTCCATTGACATGTAATGGCTGTTTAAATTTCACATGAATCGACATGTAAAAAAAACCGGAGTATCGAGTTTTGTTCTCGTGAAAATGAAAGACACCAATTGTTTTTCCCCAAAACTATCATTCCACGATTTTATGCTATTTCTTTAAAATATGTGTAGTAAACATATCAAAGATAACAAATATCAATAAATCTGAATATCGAAAATAAATTATCCACATTCGGTTTTGCATTTCTCTCCGCTACGGCTTGTGCCCAGGTCCATCTCATTTTGTGAGAACGCCTCACATATGTGGCTTGGGTGAAAACAGCACACTCAGCAAGCCAAAGCCTTGCTGGTTTAGTTAGCAGCTTATTGCAGATATAGAGCCTGCACAGTTGCTGTAGATGGTGCTTAATTCTAACCACTTTTGACAGCAGCAGTGGGAGTGACACAACACGTGCATGTACTGGTTTGCACATGTATGACGTAAAGCATGCATGAGTTATTTTATTCCAAACGTGCACAAGCTCATACCATCATCCAATGATTACGGTGTTCGACTTGTGGGACGGGGTACGTAGGTTCAAACCCTAACGGGGAACATGATGCCTGTGCTCTTTGGCAAGACACTTTACTACAACTGACTCTTTCCACCAAGGAGTACAAATGGGCACCTGTGACGGTGGAGACCAAATTGACCACATTATTATCCTTATTTTGAGAGCATCAGGCGTTGCCAGCAATGCGTTTTGAATGTCCCTCCCAGTGGTCTCCACCAACTCTCTCGGCAACCGTTGAGGGGTACTTTGTGCACGGAGTCCGTACACTGTTTTCTACAAGTGGTTGTGACATGTGGCGCCCTCTAGATGATGAGATCCACCAGGTTTCCCTTCGGCTGGGACATGTTGTCGGGGAAGAAATTGACTAACGTGTCAAACAGCTGCCAAAAAAAAACAAAAAAACAAAAAAAAAAAGAAATAAAAAAGTGGTTTTTAAATGCAACACATCAGAGACAAAAAAGTCAACCTATTGCCCTATATTAAAGCCAGAGTCCATCATTTGCAGCTATTCAAAAACTAACTGACGTAATTATTGTTGAAAAACATACTTGGTTGAAAGATAGTAATGGGATTAAACTCCCTGTGAAATTATTCTTTCTGGCAAGCTGTCATTTTGAAGAAATCAACGAAAGAAGGCCTTTGGAAGCATTGGAAATTTTCGTGTGTAGTTCGTTTTTTTTATTCGGCTAAGCGCGCAAGCGTTGACATGACGCAAACATGCGCGTGGTTGCTATAATTCGTCGGATCGGTGCACGACATCGCATAGCTGCAATCGGCTCAGTGAGAACGTGTCTCGAGCGCTGAAGTTAGGCCCGATTCAAAACATGATTCAGCAACTTTTGATTTGAAATCGAGATCCTAGAATGTTGTTTTTCTCGAAATATACAGCTGAAGCTGAGCTGAAACTTCATCAGGTTAGTTGTTCAGCACCCTTCTTTAGATTTTGAGCACTTTTGTTGCTTCAAACGAACAAAATGCACAAATAACAAATGATGGACTATACATTTAATAGCTAATTAATTATAATCAGGTTTGGAAGGGTAATGAGGAAGGAGAACCAATATGTCACCAAACAAAACCTGACCAAACCAAAATGACTTGAAAGTTGCAAGACCATTTTGTGCTACATTCTTGCACAATAGAAATCAATGCACCTGACAACATTCTTGAGAACATGAGTAAATACCCGGAAACAAGCCTATTGATTTAATGAGAAAAATATTTCTGAGAGCGAAGGATTGGTACAAAATACTCTGCGAAGATTACTCATCCCGTAGGACCCCGACATCATGTATCCCTGTGTTATCATAAATCGGGCTTATATACTAAGCCTTACAGTTTTGGACTGACTGGTTGATTGAAAATCCTGCCCGAGTGCTCAGTCAGGATATCGCACACAAGAAATGATCATCGTCAATGATCCTACGGATCAAATAGATAGCTCATTCTGATCCTTAAATTCACCTGTAAATAATTAGTGAAAACAAGTGATTTAGTTACTTCCAGTCACACATATGGGTCCTCATACCTGAGTTCTAGTGGAATAATGTGGCTGGGATTCTTCTATGTGCACGGTCAGCAGGTGGTCTGGTACCTCGAGTCGTGGCCTGAAAAGACTTGAGGCTAGCAGCTGGAACTAGTGATAGAAAGACAGACACCAGACTAGAGTTCAACACAAGGCAAGCAGTATAGCCATGGGACGCAGAGAAAATTGTCGCTAACAACCACGGCTCATCTGAAGGATTGTGCGCATCTTCTTTGAGAATGTTTATCCCCCGTTACTTATGAACTGATTTGTAACTTACTTGCCCACAACTATTATTTGGTTCTCGCTTAATTGTTGTCTACATACATTTGGCTACATTTGTCCAGTTTGATTCATCAAAAACCACAATGTGAAAATCAAAGGTTGTGTTTCAGAAGGCTGACGAGCATGCACTAAAAATTTCTCATGCCAGAACCCTCTTTCCTTGTACCAATAAAACTCTTGCAAAAAGGACGTGGGATGAGCGCAACAACAGATATGTATACTTGACCAAAATGATTTTATAGACAATTTACTGAAAAAGGTGCATGAATCAGTGGTAAAAAAACGAGGAAATTCCAAACCACACAAGACTTTATACAGTGTTTTTCCATTTGTAATGGCATTCATGAGGAGTAAAAAACGAGGAAATCAGCGGATCCGAGGAAAAGTTGCATGCCTGCAGACTCCTCACCTCTTTGGTTTCTTGCTTGTCTTTGTGATTGACCGTCTCGTACAGCTCCGTTTGCAGGTATCTCAGGGCCTGGACGGGATTAGACATGGCAATCTCTTGGAAGCGGTGTTTGCGTATCACATGCTTGCAGCGCCTTACTACCTGGTCTTTCAGCGGCCGGACAAGCTATTGGCAAAATCAAAGAGAAAGTATGATCAGGAATGATACTTGCCCACAGTTCGGGAAACTCTGATTCAACACTGGTTTATCAATGATATTTGAACTTAATCTTGTCAACTACATGTATATGCGACTAGCCTAATGAGATTGGTTGCATCACAGGTTACAACAGAGTACCAAAGCGTGATTTCTTTGTTCTGGTTCACACGCGTTGATGTCAACATACACTTAAGCTATGTGCATGAATCAAAATATGCAAAAATACTTTGATACTCTATAGCAGTGCCATCATAATGCACGGTAGGGAGCCAGGACAAATAAGTTTTGTGAATTTGACCATCGTTGGACTAAAGACATTCGCATGTTACTACTAGTGCCTGGGGTAAGTTAACATCACAGAACAACCCGTAGACTACCAATGGTTCTTGATCGAGCCTTGCTTTAAAATAGCAGAATTATTGCTGATGTAGTACAACTCTCCAACCTCCATAAGACATACACAAGATACATGTTCAAAACAAACTTCAACTTTTAGCATCAGTGAATTATTTTTCTGAAATTTTGTTATTGGCAGCTGTGATCCAGAGCACAGTGCCCAGCAGGCCAAGCAGCTGGTCATACAAAACACATTTAACCATTGATTTGTATCATTTCTGTCTTAAGAATTTTCGCATCTTGAGGAGTTAACTTGAAGGAATTCTACAGGCCTCATCGAACACAGGCCTACCTCCAGAGACCAGAAGTCATCAAGGCGGATGCGCTGAGCCGTAGACCGGCCGGGGTTGCCCCCAAACAAGTAATGCCTCTTGTGCTTGTGGTCGTAGGCTAGCTGGTGGGCAAACCGGGGGCAGGGCTCCACACACTGACGGCTGCTCCAGTACTGCTGGTCACTGTTCTCATTCTTGTACACGCAGGACCTGGACACAGGTGAATTTTGCAATATACATGCAATCAACATTTTCTCGGTAATAAAGTTCCTACTGCAATTCAATGACTAAACTTCAATCGAAAACAATTTAAGTATGCAAAGCCCTAACTAGTCTAACAGCCCTAACTCATGAGCTGAAGTACCTCCCCTTTCAGAGTTTCAACATCTCCTGGAAAACCCCCATTGTCACATTACCTCATGGACTCTGTTCACAAGTACCAATTCAACAGTTAATAAGAGAGTTGGGCATGACTCTTGAATGTGTTGCTGCCCTGTAAACATGCTTCAGTTTGTGTTCATTCCAATAGTGGTGCGTATTTGTGCCATTCTTGTGTGAACCAGTGTATGCACACAATCTGCCTGGCATGTAGCTGTAATGAGTGATCATGAAGGGCCATCTTCTGTTCATCTACGGCTTCCATACCAGGATACTGTCTCATATTGCTGAACTGCTTTCCATTTGAACAGCTGACACGATTCTTGTTGTGCAGTTTCTCAGTGTATATATTCCCACACCCCCTTACATGCCATAGTTATCGTCGTAAAACCCTGTGCCCTAGTCTCGTCAGCAACTCACCATCTGTTCTGATTGATGTAATAAACCCAGAAAGAGTTCTTGACACTATCATCCTTCTTCTCTTTGTCTTTGCTCAAGCCCTGAACACACCCACAAAAAAAGAAGACAAATAAAACATTAATGCGAAATTACCATACTATTAAGTAGTCAGAGGATCATATTCAAGTGTGCAGCAGGGCCACACTACAAAATGTCTGATATATCCGCACATGTAAATTTCATGCAACCCCGCGTGCCAGCTAATCGGAGTGGCTTTTAGAAGTCGTGACATCATTTAGAGCAGAAATTCGGCCAAAGCTGTTGATTGGTCAATAGCTGCCATGTTTTTGTCATACAACATCGTGTTACCAAATTAAGACACAGTAGAAGGCGCCCACTGAATGGTCAGAATCTGGAGGTCACGACACAGGGTTTTTTTTGCATAATATTCACATATTTTTCCATAGACTGACTTCTTATCGGTGAGAACAAAAAAATGTTGAGGGTCTTTTGCAAGATACTTTGAGGTCACATGACAACAGGAAGTACTAATGAGCACAGAGCAGAAAAAAATAAATGCTTCATTAAAACAACCATTGTATATTATAAACCTGACAGCACCTTAAGTATATCTTGTGCATGTAATGTGGGCATATAAAGGAAACTATCATTGTACTAAAGTGTTTGCAAAAGCAGCAACTTTGCACTCACCGATAACACATGGATTTCATTCAAGTCTGGATTGATTGTAGCTCGCTGGGTGAAACCTGCCGCTGGTACTGTGGAGGTTAAAGTCACGTGTTAAACTTCTGTTACCTCAGTGAAAATAACATTTGCTAAAAGGACTTGCTAGGTTTGTTTGGAAGTATTGTAAAATAATTTATTTTTCAATTTGGAGAGGGTGAACATTATTGCTCTACGTGAAGCTGACCAATTTTTGAGCTCATCTGATGTGAACAAACTAAGAAAACACTTATAAATTAAGTGCAAGATTTTAGACAATCAAATTTTTGTATTATCTCAGCTTATATAATAAAAGTATTGAAAAAGTACTTGGCTGAGATATTTTGTCTTTAGAATTTGGGCAGCCGTGAGTCCTTATTTTTCTGTCTACAGATTATTTCTTGAAGAGTGCTCACCTACAACACTAATGAAAGTGGTGATTTTTTTTCCCTTTTCGGACATGTACATTGCACTGTACACTGAAACTGTGCTAGAGTGACAAAAGGTAAATAATAATGTGATATTCAGTTAGCCAAAACAAATTCTTCCTTCCAACGTACTGGCACTGTCTTTCTTGTTGCCATCTGATATCACCTCGATCTCATCCGTTTCAATGTTGTAGGTGAAAAAGTCACTCAGGTAGTCTTTCCCTCGCTGGCCAGCAATGATGTACAGCTTCTGAAGAACCTGGAAACGTTCAGCAAATAATACTGTCAGTGGCTGGGAAACTGAACTTGGCTTCCATTTAAATTTTGGTTAAAACTTTTGGAACAAATACAGGAAAACGTTGGTATAACCAACAAGATGGGCTCTACAAAAGAAAGTTTGGTATACAATGGTGGAGTTCATGCTGTCCAGTTAAACTCGGCGGCCGGTATGACACTCAAAGTTGCCAAGATGGCGTCTGTACTTCCCCTTTGCATAAATAATGAATTAATTATCAAAATATACTTTCATTTAAATTCATTAACTGACTGAAAATGAAAAAAAGTCCAGCCACGTGCATGTACATTTAGTCATGTAACAAAAAATGACCAATGTTCATGTACAAATGTATACATGTAAATAGTCATTCAACAAAAATGACCAACACGGTCGGTACCACATGGTTTCCGCATGCATGGACGGCCCACTTCACGTCCGAAAACCTGAAGACAAGATTTTATCTTTTGACGTTGAGAGGCGTTCTCGGATAGACAAACCAGCAATATGGATTCGGCTTTGAAGAACTCAGTAATGTTCAGCTTAATAGTACATACAATTTGGGAGCCAAAGGCTGATGTTTGTTATAGCTGAATGTTCAGTATAGTGGCATTCTACTGTACTATGACTGACAACTGAACAAAGCCATCTCAGCAGTCAAACTTAATCAAGTGACTGTTTTTAAGTCCTCCCTACAGTATACAATGTACATGTACAGCCTGTCTAAAAAAAAATGGTACAATCGAAAACGATTTTTTTTTCAATATTAAATCTCAACATAAGTAAGTCGTTTTGAGCATCACATTAAAGAAAAAAGACCAGGCTTTCCAATACTTTTTGTTTCATCTCATTTGCTTTTGTCAATCCAGAGATAACTCCAGTTTACTGCGGAACACAAAAATCGAGTTTGTTTCTTTTGCCAAGTTGCAATCTTTTGTGAGCTTCAAGACAGCATGGCACAGTACTCGAAACAACTCTGCCCATGCATAAAAGTGGCACAAAATCGATTTTGGTGTATCGCACTAAATTGATTATATCTCTGAATTGACAACAGCAAATAAGATCAAACAAACACTATTGGAAAGCCCAGTCTTTGTTCTTTAATATTATGCCAAGTAAGAACGACTTATTTGGAAATTTCATATTTAACCATTTTTTTTTCTGATTGTACCATTTTTTTTTAGACAGGCTGTATATAAACAGAACGATTGGCTGGCTGCAACTGTCACCGTCCTTCAATGTGATGTGAGGGGATGCGCATTACATTTTTGACTGTTTGTGACTGAAAAGGTGGAAGGGTTGGTTACGATGTCATCTTATCCGTACTGTTCCTGCATATTAATTGCATCATGTACACGTCTGGGTTTGCTTACTGGATGGAGAAGCATGGAGTGCCCTATCCTAGATTTGATGTCCCTTCCCCCTAGACTACTGGCACAATCCCTGCGTAGTAACTTCCAGGTGTTGGTGGGTACATGGTAGGAGTAGAGACCGCTGAAGGAACCCTCACTAGGCCTCTCCTCAGACAGTAAGGTACTGCAGGGAGGACAATGATGGAAGAGGAGTCAGAAATGATAAATGACAGACACAAAGTTCCATTATAAAGAAAATTATTGTGGCAACCGCTGCTACATCAGATTTGAACTGGCCAGCTGATCCCTGAAAGTTCGGTGGCAGAGTGGTTATTCACATCTGCACCAGTAAGCAGGATGTCGTGGGTTCGAGTCCACCCAATCTGTAAATTATTTTCTCACAAGCTCTAGAACAGCACTGGGCTTACAAGATTACATACATGTAGGTGTACGTTCATAGCAAAATCCAATGTAAAAATTTAAACTTACAAGTTAGTTGTGAGATGTCTGCACTCGAACACAGGATGAAATTAGGGTCAACTATCATACATTGGCTGACCACTCACAGTGTTTGTGACAAACTTGTCTACAACACTGCTGAAACTACATGTTTTCAAAATTATGTCAGCTTAATATCAAACTTTAAAAGTAATAGACACCATTTGCAACAACAAAAATGTTTTTTTGCCGATTCAAGGAACAATACAACTCTCCCGTAGACTGGGAACTCGCCTGGCGTTACTTGCGTACCCGGCCTGGCGCATTCCATCCACCACAAAATTATTGATACATCTCGCAAGTTATAGCGTATGGACTCCAAAGTTTCACAGGTTGTTCATGAGTTACATGTATATTTGAAGCAGATTACTGCAAAAACAAACCAGTCAAAACAAATCTGCCAAGTAGATATTAAACTTTTTGAGAAAACTGTGAAAATGTATCTTTATTTTTTTCGACCAAAAGAATAGGTTTCCATGGAAAGTGAGGCGGTTTGGACCTAACCATTGCGAGGAAGTGATGGTTATTCCTCTTTTCTCGAAAACGACAACATATATGTACATGTATGTACTTCAGGCGCTTTAATTTCACCGGATGCTTGATCCTGTTTACTTACATTTCCAATCGAGTATATTTTGACAGTTTAATATTTGAATGTGTGCAAATGGCGTCCATTACCTTTAAAGCTGTGAATAACTAAAACATCCTTTACTACAGCAAACCTTGTTAGAATTCTCCCACCAAACACATAGATGGTGGAGTTCTGTGAGTCCATGCTCATCTGGTGGTCATAAATGAGCTTAGGGCCCCCCTCTGTACCCGTATCTTCACATATAAGAAGCCACTTGTTGGTGTCAATGTCGTACACATAAAAGTCACTCTAGAGAAGATGACAACAAAAAACAAGTTATGATATGTTCCTCTTTAAAAAAAAAAAGGGGGGGGGGAAGTAAATTCCCTTTTAACATTGACAAAAGAATATTGTGATCTGTGCAGCTTGTGCTTGATCAACTCGGGTATTCAGGCATGCAACTGGGAAGTCACCATAAAAAAGAGAGTAAATTCAAATCTTTCAAAGACTTTGTACAGTATTTTTCTATTTTTAATGGCACACATGGGAAGTAAAGAAAGAGGAAATCAGCTAATCTGAGGCAAAGTTGCAGGTATTGCAATTGCTGGTAAAAAAAAGCTGAGAAAAGTATTTGAGCGTTTTTAGGTTTCTGCTTACCTTCAGTGGATACACATTTCGGACAGAGGAGTCAAGGTACCGTCCTAATGTGAAGATCTGCCTGCGTTGTGGATCCAGGCACATCTTGTGGCAGGATCGGGCGGAGGGACCACCCTAAATCAAGGAGGGAAAGGTTGAACTACATGTTCATCTAGAACGTGTCTTTGTTGGTGAAGAATAACCTTGCTGTGTCGCCTATTTTTCTAGGATATAGGATATTATTTTTTTATGCGGTTATGGCATGTATGGTATGAATGTTGGAAAGTGGAATTTATGCAGGTAAACTGCCAAGATGATATCGAAAAGTTTAACTTCAAGGTGGTGAATTGATCGACACAAAATGACATCATCACAGTGCCATTATAAAGTACACATTTCCTCCAGATGGCGCCTTGTACATGTTTAAAGTTCCAAGTTGATTGATTGAACGCACAAGGTTGCAGCATACCTCCTTTGCAGTGTCCTTGAACAGGCAGGTCCACTGGCCCGTCGCCGCACTGAAAGCCCAGAAGTCTGACAGATCCTGTGCCCCGTCCCAGCCGCCGTATAAATACACGGTTTCTACAATACCAAGACAAAACATTCAAGACCAACATAAACGGTGAATCTACATCCTTGCAATACATGTACAAAATAATAACAATAATACGGTGCTTATAAAGCCCGTAATTCCACAGGATTCAAAGCGTTTCACCGTTATATTGTCCCTATTCATTTTGTTGTCAACGAAAGTGTTACAGACTTCAATGTACAACACAGCATACGCGTGACTGAATGTTCCAAGGCCCTTGGTGTTATTTTAGGTATTACCCGAGTGAAGCCTTAGACAAGTTGGTTGACAGCAAGCATGTGACAACAAACTTCTCAGCATGCAATAACATTCGCTAAAATGATTTTTAATAAGGCTTGATCTCAACGCTCTCCTATAGATTTTTGTATGCAAGGTGTGAAAAGGTAATGATTTTAATTTACTTGTTTTCAATTCTGAAAGAATATTCACTAAACTGTAAATCATCAGTGAAAACAGTAAGAATCCATATAAAATATTCATTAGGCATGTTGTGAAAATAAAAATGGAATTGAGAGGGGGGATCGAATCTCAAACAAAAGGAAGGAAAGGCCCCTTGCCATGAAACTGTAAATTTTGTTGTTCTTGAAAGGCTCAGCATTTTCAATTACATTAAATTAAGTTTATCTTTTTGAATAATAAATAAACCAAAAATAATTATATAGCATGTAAACAACAAATTTGTTAAAATTTTGCAACGAAAATGTCAGGTCCTTTGCATGCGCAGAAAGAGTTTACACATTTTATAGCACACAAATAAGTCATGGCAGTCCGGTGAACTTTTCCCACGTCGCATTCATCAAAACCCTGGTATTTGTGTTACATACATCCTAACCACCCCAATGCTTCAAACATCCAACTGCATCTCTGTTTTGTTGGAGTCTGTTGGAGTGAGTACTGCACTAGTAAACTGATTATGTTTTACATGGAGTCAGGCATACCACCATAATCAGAGTCCAACAGTTTAGGCGTGGAGTGTACAATGGTGAGGAAGGTTCCTAGTAAATCAACCAAGGGGGTTAGTTTAAAGGGAAGATACAACATTTGCAAACATCAAAAAACGAAATGATCAAATTATAACAAAATATCTTACTGGACTGTTAGTGAATGATCGTTTAAAGCAAACTGTAAAATTGTGGCTCCTTGTGTGCTGACATTTTCAAGAAAACTTGTATTTTTCCAACGCTGGTCGGCCAACCATCGTTGGAGAAAACTGGCTTTTTTTTCATCTTTAGTCATTCTGCATTAACCTTGCAATTGATTACACATCTGTGAAGGGGTACAAGCCTGCTAGACTGATTCTCTCACCTAACAATTCCCAATGTCTATAAATTGCAACGTCTCATCTTAAGTGGGGACTACAAGACTACAAGAATATGGTTGGTTTTCTTGGATTTTCCAGCATCTCCGAACTCAAAACGTGAAACAAGCTAGTTTAACAATATTTTCTATAGCACACTTATCCTCCAAATTCATTTATTTTTGAAAATTGTAGCAAAAGCAAATGTTGTATATTCCCTTTAATGAATGCCTTTATACCGCAATGAAGTGATTGTATTCTCCTGACCTGTATCAATGTCTATGCACATCTGGTGACCACCCCTCTTGCCAGGCTTGGCATCGTCCTCCAGGGAGCCATGCTGACACAGCAGCTTCCACTGCGGCAGGTAGTCCTGCATGCTGATGTACTGCTCAAAGTGGCCCTCCTCCGAGGCCCGCTCGATGATGTGCTCGCAGCAGTCAAAGTCACCGTTCACTACCTGGGGATGGCAATTAGGTCGGGCAGGACTTCAACACTACAAATACTGGCCCAATTTCCAGATTATGCACTCAATGACTACAGATTGGGAGACTCCAGTGTTGTGGTACTCGTACTCGGTACTCGTACTCGAGTACTACTGGAGTACTTTTTTTGGAGTACTCGTACTCGTACTCGAATGTCGAAATGACGGTACTCGTACTCGGGCAGCAAAGTACTCGTACTCGGGCAGCAAAGTACTTGTACTCGACATGTCGAAATTGTACTCGATCATAAAAGTACTCGTACTCGATCATAAAAGTACTCGTACTCGAATAGCAGTACTCGAGGGGAAAAATGTTAAAGCTTCACCTACAATGGCCTTATTTTATCGATACTTTCAATTTGAAATGGTTGATTGGCTTGTTGAGAAATCGAGATTTCCTGATTTTTTTCTGTGCAAGTCCGGACAAACACATTTAACAGCTAGCCGTGAGTGGGTCTGTATATCGGTCTGACTGAGCCTGGGCCAAATGAACCATTTGCCGTATGGCCGTATTCGGAAATACAAGTACTCGCACTCGTACTCGGAAGTACAAGTACTCGTACTCGGAGACCCGTTCTTGTATTCGGAGGTACTCGTACTCGGCAACCTAAGTACTCGGCAGTACTCACTTGGAAAAAAGTACTCTACTACAACACTGGGAGACTCTCTAGGTCCACCTTGATTGGGCAATCCTTGTCCTGTTTAAACTCATGGCAAAAAAAACAACCAGGATCGAATTTAAAGTACATTTCTGCTATTCCTTCTCACCAGTTTCTCATGTAGTTCTGATATGGTGGGATGTTCCAAGCTGATCTTGGTTTTCTTCTGCAACGTCTCAAAGGCCTCGCTGTAGTTGTGTTGTCTTAGATGTTTCAAGCAGAGACGGATTGCTTCTCGCTCACGATACTGCACACAACAAAGGGAAAAGCATTAGTTATCGTTTGAGGAGAAATAATGTGAAATTCTTGGTCCCAAGGTGTTGCCAGATTTTTGGTTCCTCTCATAAGACAGTTCAATATCTCGACGAAGCAGTCCAGGTCAAAGGTAATTCAGAATAAAATCATTGATACGACGTTATGCGAATCCCCATTCTGCTCACAATTAACGTGCGAGTGTCGTGCGACCATCTCCTTGCACGTTCACGCGCCTTCAATGAGCGTTCAATTATCCCAAATGATCCGTGACCAATATCAGTGCGCACATGTACAGTTTAAATACTGAACGGGCTTCTTGCAAAATGTTCGGAACCTCAAAACTTCAAGGGACTTTTTCTTAGTATTATACTTTCTTGACATGTCGATAAATGTGAACTTTAAACAGCCATAACATGTCAACAAAATGTCCAGTTGAAGTATTACAAACAGTTTTGCACGGAGAATTCTATTCTCTTTCCTAATACCCATACGTTTGATCTCTGCTCAGTTTCGTCTTATTTTGCCAGAACGCCTCACATATGCCACTCACTTTGTTGTACTTGATCAGGCATGGCTGAACTGTATCAGGGTCATCGATGCCATTTATTGCAACATACCAGATGCTGAAGTTGAAGCTAGGCCCGCAGGATAACATAGGCACTGTAGACAGAGTACGCAACATTGTGAAGAACTAACCAAGTTTACAGTTCAGCTTAATGGATGCAAATTTCTTTCATAAAAATCTGAGATGTGTTTGGTATCAGATTTTTTTTCTTTTACAGGTCCCAGACAATCAGACACATAAATGCTAAACCAAACTGAGCTTCACATCCCCGTGCAGCAATTAGTGAACAAAAGCCACATTTTTCAGCAAATGAGATGGACCCGTAAATGTGGCGTCAATAAAAACACCAGATCAATTTTTTTTAGTGAACTTCACTAAAAAACAGTTTTCTCAGTATTAGTCTTAAGATGTCGATTGTTTACAAAACCTTATAGACAGAAATGGAATAAAATGAATCTGTCAAGGATGAGGATGTACTTTCATGATTTTGGGGGGATTCTACACATAGTTTGCATACCTATTTTGATGAATCTGCAAGGGACTTGAGAGCCATTGACCACATGTTTCAGTGTAAACGTCTCCATATTACTGTCATTTTCTAAACCGCTAAAGTAGTAACAACAAAGGGGAAAATAGGAAAATAGGTTGGAGGTAATTATTTGAGTATACATGTAAGGTCTCTGACTCAAAAACACTGCTTTGCAAGCAATCTTTTGGTGCGGAAACCAGACTACATACCTCGTGAGGAGTTCCACCATATGCTCCTCAGTCATCCCTGCATAGATCTTGAACTTCTTGAGGTTACAGACGTGCGTCTTCTCGTACTTGCCAAAGGAGATGGCGTCAATCAAGGAACACTTCTCCAGTTTCAGGGTCAGGTACTGCCAGAAGTTTGGGAGGGCAAGACGACATCATTAGTCTATGAAATGTCCCCCTCCAAAGGAAGGGTGTTCAACTGAATGATATGTACAAACAGATTCGCAATTGATTATGCAAAACAAGACTGCGTCTTGTCCTCCAGATTCTGACCATTCAGCGGGCGCCTTCTATCGGGTCTTCGGTAACCTGTTGTTGCATTGCAAAAACATGGCAGCCACATTGACCAATCATCAGCTTCGTCCACATTTATGAGCATAACCATGTCAAAATTTCTGAAAGTTGACTCTGATTGGCTGGCGTATAAAATTTGTATGCTTACATATCATATGTTCATAGTGTGGCGCTTATACACACATAAACGCATGATCCTCTGACTAACACATGATTGGGAACATCATTGGCAAAGAGTTTGATACATGTACAAAAATGTAGTTTTATCATTAACAACAAGCTCCAAATTACATGTACATAAATTGAAGTTGTGGACTACTGGGGCTATACTACTGGAAGTTTGGAAGGAAGGCAAAAAAATTGTACAGGATAATACAGGTGAATGGAAAAGAGTTCCATAGTCATGATAGTTGCATCAGTTTTTTCATCAATTAAAAATACCTTATCAGCATGCATATTACATAAACTGAATTTGATTAATACTAATAAACTCAAAATTGCATGGTGATATTGAAACAAACATGTATGGGGGTGGCGGGCTGGGAAGATACAACCCAAGCATCCCCCCCCCCCCCCTCCCCCCACCGTCCTCAAGGACATTTTAGGGTTAATATACACGTACTTACCTGGGGAGGACAGTTGCTGTCTGAAGACCATCGGGAAGACTGATCGTTGGGTGCATCTACCAAAATATTCCTGCATGAGCATAAAATGTCACTAATTATACAAACAGAACAAAAGATCATTTGCCATTCTACAGATATTCATTGCATACATACCGGTATGTAAATTCATTTGTTCAATTCTGCTCCTCATATTATGTATCTAAGCTGTTATTAAAAAGGCACTTTGAAAACTTATCTTTTTAAAGAGTGTTTATAATTTACTAAAGTTTTAATTTTTCGTAATAATTTTAAAAAAAAATTTTTTGGACAGTTGTGGAGTGTCATGGCCCAGCGGTTAAGGTTAAGAGCACCACACTGAAATCATGCTCTGGTGTTTTAGAGGCAGCAGAACGTGGGTTCGAGCCCGGGTCTGGACACTTGTGCCCTTCAGCAAGGCACCTAACCATCATTGTTTCGTCTTTCGGACGGGACATAAAGCCTTACAAATGTAGGTCCCGTGTGTTGTGTAACGCAATGCACATAAAAGAACCCAGTAACACTTATCGCTAAGAGAAGGGGGTTTGTCCAGTGTTTCTGGCCTCCTGTTAAAACTCCCCAAGGGAGTCTTTAGGACAAAAACCAACCAAGTACCAAGTAAACAAGTTTTTATCTGAATTTCGTAAGAATTTGTGTATTTTTGTATAACTGAACATGGCGCTTTGTGATTTCCCTGTGAAATAGAAAGCATTCTTTTCACTAATGTTTTTATTATTTTCATGTGTGCAAACATGGTCAGAAGAACAGCAGGTTTTTGTTTCGCAAATCTTGTCACCAATTATTTGGTCAATTATTTAAAAAGGACAATGTGCAAATATGTACCGGTATAGAAGGGCTCTAGTTGTACCCTCACAGAATATGTAGCACCATAAATTTTGGCCTAGACATGGCAAAATATACATAAAACTTACAATTTTTTCAGAAGAAAGGAACATGTATGGGTGACTTACTCTGGCACATAATTGGAAGAATAACTGGACCATTTCTCAATGGTGTAAGTCAGCTTGTGAGATTCCAGACGTGAGGCTGTCATTGGCTTCATGTTGTTCACTGGTTGTTTGTCCGAGTCTGCCATGTTACTGTGTGTTGCATCAAAGTCATCAGCTACAAATGAAACAAAATAATGGTGTACTGTACATGTCAATTTACTTGTGGATTTGCATTTTATAACATTATGATTAACCAAGTTGAACATAATTATTTTTGGGGGGAAAGGGGGCGTATTTCACCCCTCTGTAAGATCTCGTCCACCAAAACTGACAACTTGTTACGATACCGTGCAGTGTATTCAGCGCGCCAAAATGACGTACATATGCACTATTGCGCAATGCAAAGCATACAATTAGTCTGACCTAAAAGCCCTCTTAAGTAATATTTTTATGTTCCACAAGTGCCAAGGCATCAATACAAACTGCTTTCATTTTCTCGTTGCAACAGTATCAGCGAAAAGGAAAAAGAAGGAGTGACGGCCACGCCCACCCTCCGCGCTTTTCGGGCCGCTCTTAAGTTAATTAGTATGATCTAAAATCGTTCTTAAGTTATATTTCCATAATCTACAAGTTCCAAGCTATCAAATGATACTGGTTTTGTTCTTGTTCTCAACATTGTGATTAAATGCAAAATTGGCCACATTTGGCATGGCGCCAATGGGCCTTAGTCTGATCTAGCGAAACTTAAGACTGGCCATTCTGTGATCAGGGTCGATGATACTATGCTTTAAGACAATCAGGGGATTTGTTCCCAAAATAGATTATTAAACCTTATCCAGCTCTCAGTCTAAGAGATACCGGTACAGCCCAGCAAAGTGTGGCCTTTATTTACGGAGGTAGTCCAGTAAATTGGCCACATTTATGGGGCTAGGCCTAGGCAAGCGCTTGCCTAGGCCTAGCCCCATAAATGTGGCCAATTTACTGGACTACCTCCGTAAATAAAGGCCACACTTCCACCATACGTACAAAAACAAGTCAAATTTTGATTTTCATATTCAGGCTTAGTTTGTAGTATATTTTGCTTGAGAAGCATACTCACCCTCTTTTAATAAAGTCTAATCAGAAAGTGCTGCCTTTTTGAGATGTCTATTTTTCGTGAAATTTCCAGATTCGTTTGCACACGTTTGCGTATCAAAATTTCAACATGAAATTTCACGAAAATTAGACATCTGAAAAAGGCAGCACTTTCTGATTAGCCTATAATTTTATAAAGAGGGTAAGTATGCTTCTATAGTACTTTATTAGTATAGCAAAAATATACAAACTAAGCCTAAATGTGAATATCAACATTTGACAAAGTTCAAATTTTTTTTTGTACATGGTGCCGGTGGAAGTGTGGCCTTTATTTATTTTAGTCCAGCATGTCCAGTAATTAAATTTGCCACATTTATGGGGCTAGACCCGTGAAAGTGGCGTTGTATACAACGCCACGCGCTTCCGTCGGGTAAATACAAGCGACAGCATTCTATCTTTTGATCCGCTACATATAACCATGTATAATTTTGCCCATAGGTGAATCACTTACTTGTTGGGCTTCCTGTGAATTTCCGCGAGTGTTGGATCTGGCATTGCCAAGAAATTTGATATAAAGTACGGCACAACTTTGTCACAACGAATGTTTTCAAAATGATCAGAAAATCAAAGACAGGCATGACACTCTGGTACCCCGAGTTCTGCATGCGCAAAACGGAAGAAGTATCACCAGTGGGTACCCGACTAACCATCTTACATGGCAGGATGACCGTAACACCATGTAAAATTCTGCTAAATCCACTTTGAAAGTCTGCCAAATCACCCAGTTTACATTGCAGTTCCATTGTGCAAGGGTTTGTTTTAAGGATCTTTCAAAAAATGAAGGTTTTTCAAACCAAATGTGCCATATTTCTTTCCAATCTTTTTCATTTTCGGTAATCCTTACCTTTAGGACCCCGTTCCTATATAAGGTTAAAGACTCACCAAAACAGCTGACTAAATGACAATCAAAAGTGACATTCTGAAATCTGATATTTCTTGGCACATTTGACATGTTTGAACATTTGGCAATGACACCTCTTGAATATCAGCAGGTTTAATGTTGTAGAAAGAGGACAGGGCTTTGATTTATGAGGGGTAAAAGACGACGATGACAAACAGAAAATATATTTAAAAAGCAAGATGGCGAACTGCAAAAAAAGGTAGAATTTAGTCACATTTTCTTTGAAAGTGCTTTCAAAATTACAACTAACATGAGTTTGAAGAAAAACAGACTACTTTAGCCTGCAAAAGTCACATTGGTACTGGACAGTCATTTGCAAAAGTCAGTTTTGAACAGAACTCGTACAAAATAGAGGTGTCCTAAAAGTAAGGATTGCCAAATTTTCAGACAAGTCCCATAGGGTTTGTGCACAACAAGCATGACAAGTGATTGCCAGATATGGGAATCTTTCCCATGGCCTACTTAGAAAATTTTCTTGACTCTCCATAGACTTGTACACAACCGCTTAAGTAGCGTCAGGTTGCAACATTCTTTCCCTTCCTACTTACAACATCCGAAGTGATATTGATGCCACAGTATCTTGATGGAAAACTTGAAGTTGAAGTTTTGTGTTTTTCGAATAATGACGAAACTGTCATGGCTGTTATAGTTGAGAAGAGCGCCCCCAATAGTCAGCGTGTGTGCATGCTATAACATTCGCTCGTACCCGTACCCCCCGCCCTGCAAACAGGACGCGGGGATACTCTGATGAATTCACGCTCTGATTGGTTGGATTTTGCGTGACCAGTGACCTGCGCGTCATCAAGGTCATGACTCTGCAAGGTTTTGAAACGGCGGTTAAGACTGATTCGTTACTCTTGTATTCCAGTTTAGAGATGTTTTTTTCTCGCTGAAAAAGCGTAATAATGTAGGAAATTCTGTAAAACTTATCTGTGTTGTAAATTTACAATTCCCGTCACTCGCTCAGGCTCCGTTTCTAATCTCGAACCGTCGGATTGCATTATGTGACGCTCAAAATTGTGTCCACATGGTCCGCAATGAAACAGAAATCACATGCAGTATGGAATGTGCGCAATTCTATGGCGAGTTTTCGGATAGCATTTGCGCACATTGTCTAACTGCGGTCTTGAACAGCTGCAGCCAGATGCTTTATACATAGGGCATAGGCCACTTCCTTCACAAGATTCTGTGAAGCTCCAACCTCGTCCCCAGGGTGTCGAGCAGTACGCGCCCACCACTACCTGCTCTCTCACCCTGGTATTGGATCATTTGCATATGTGCAAGATTTTTGAACACGTATGCAAATGAGGAACAGTCTGGTGCCTGGATATGCGTTACACATTAGCGTTTGTTTTTGTATGCGGTGTCTGGGGTAAAAACAGAGTCAATTCGTAGCAGCGCTCATTTGCATACGTGTTCAAAAATCTTGCACATGCAAATGAGGGTGCGAGACGAGAGCAGGTAGTGATGGGCGCGTACTGCTCGACACCTTGGGGACGAGGTTGGAAACAGGACGCTTCGCTCGTCCCCCGCCGCCCTGCAAACAGGACGCTGGGAAAGGCCGACAAATTAATGCTCTGATTGGATAGATTTGCGTGACCTGTGACCTGCAAGTCATCACGGCCACGACCCTGCAAGGTTAGAAACGGCCGTTAAAAAGACAGTCATTCATCCGCACTCTGTTATTCCATTCATTAATGCGGCGCCCTTTTTTGGTTGAAAAAGCATAATGTAGGAAAATCTGCAAAACTTGTCTGTTTTGTAAATTTTCAACTCCCGTCAGTTGCTCAGGATGCAGGCTCCGTTTTGAATTCACGAAGGGTCAAAATGCATATCATTCGACGCCTATATTCGACGCTCAAAATGTATACACATGGTCCGCAATGAAAAAGAAATCACATCCGGTATATGGTGTGTGCTATGGCAAACTTTTCGGATAGCATTTGCGTGCATGGCGCTAACCGCTCTGTGAAACTCATCTGTCCTTCCCGCCCTGTTTTGCAGGGCGGGGGTTACCAGCAAAACAGGACGCTTCCTGCTTCCAGATTCGGTACCGCAATTTGCTAGTAATGGATTTATATCGTGTAGTTGGTGTTGTTATTTACGTGCATTACGTGTTTTCACAATTATTATAATATTAACGTCCACGCCTTCTCAAAAAAACTCATTTCCTTTCCTTTCGATTTCCAACTTGCTCATATCAATATGAAATGTGATACTGCATATTGGCGGGCCAGGTTGTAGCATTATAACTTCAAAAAAAAATTCGTGTTTTCATAACTCACGGCGGTAATTTATCATGACCTATGTATAAAGCATCTAATCCGGCTGCAGCTGTTAAAGACAGTAGTTAGCCAATGCGCGCAAATGCTATCCGAAAACTTCTCATAGAAATGCACACAACCCACACCGGATGTGAATTCTTTTTCATTGCGGACCATGTGGACAAATTTTGAGCGTCGCATAATGCAATCATTGACCTTTCGTGAATTCAAACCGAGCCTGAGCAAGTGAAGGGAAGTGTAGCAAATTTTACTACACATGTACAGATAGTTTTTCAGATTTTCCTACATCACGCTTTTCAACCAAAAAAAGGCATCTATATAAAATTGGAATAAATAACGCTCTAAAACCTTGCAGGGTCATTTCCGTGATGACTTGCAGGTCACAGGTCACGCAAAATCCAACCAATCAGAGCGCGAATTCATCAGAGTATCGCAGCTTCCTGTTTGCAGGGCGGGGGTACGAGCGAAGGGGAACAAGCGAAGCTATAACACAACGGAATGGCAACAGAGGGCGCTACATTAGAGGGCACTTTATTCAAGAAAAGTTTGCACCACGAAGGATAGATGCAACCCTGCAAATAAATTCCCATAGACACTAGTGCTAAATGCCCATACTTCAAAATTCTTTTAAAAATACTCGGAACTCTCACAGGTATTCACAAGCTGCACAGAAAAATGATGATCAACATGTCATGTTTCGTTTTCTTTTCATTTTTTGGTGGGTCGACCATTGACTTTTCGAGACATTCTCACCCAAAGAAGACGACCCCTATTTTCCCAAAGCGGAAAAGTAGCCATCTTGAAAAACGATCCCTCCACAACGTGGCAAAATAGCGCCACTTTCGAGCCCAATAGCATCCAAAATGCTCAGAACTGGAAGCTCCAAGTCCGGGCCAGAGGTTCATCACCATATCTCTTCAATTCCACAATTTTACGGAGCTCAGAACTCTCTAATATATAATATTTTGAGGGTATAACTTTTATTCATGAGCTTGGCGGATAGATTTTGGCCTATTTACCGGTGTGCACCCCTCCGCAATGAGCGCGTTCGATTCGCTCGTCCCCCCGCCCTGCAAACAGGACGCTCGGATACGCTGATGAGCTTCACCAACCTCGTCCCCAGGGTGTCGAACAGTACGTGCCCATCACTACCTGCTCTCTCACCCTGGTATTGGATCATTTGCATGTGCAAGATTTTTGAACACGTATGCAAATGAGCAACAGTGTGGTGCCTGGATATGCGTTACATTAGCGTTTGTTTTTGTATGCGGTGTCTGGGGTAAAAACAGAGTCAATTCGTCGCAGCGCGAGCACGGCGTGAGTTATGAAAACAAGATTTTTTTTAAAATTAAACTGTTACGATCTTATCGAGACAACATGCAGTATCATATTTAATATTAATATGAGCAAATTGGAAAGGAAATTAGTATTTTCGAGAAGGCGTGGACGAATGATCGCGAAAATACGTACTGTACGTTGTGAATAATAGCACCAAGTACACGATAAAAATCCATTACTAGCCAATTGCGGTATCGAATCAGGATACAGGAGGAAAGTTTGCTATCCAGGGTTTACTATTGGAAACAAGGTTGGAAATAAAGTGAGCACTGGGGACGAGGTTGGAGCTTCACATAATCTTGTGAAGGAAGTGGCCTATGACCTATGAATAAAGCATCTGGCTGGAACTGTTAGACAATGTGCGCAAATGCTATCCGAAAACTTCCCATAGAATTGCGCACATTCGTTCTTCCATACCGCATGTGATTTCTGTTTCATTACGGACCATGTGGACAAAATTTTGAGCGTCGCATATAATGCAATCCGACGGTTCGTGATTCGCGAATTCGAAAACGGAGCCTGATAGCGAGTGACGGGAATTGTAAATTTACAACACAGATAAGTTTTACAGAATTTCCTCATTATTACGCTTTTCACCGAGAAAAAAACATCTCTTAACTGGAATTAAAGAGTAATGAATCAGTCTTAACGGCCGTTTTAAACTATGCAGAGTCATGACCTTGATGACGCGCAGGTCACTGGTCACGCAAAATCCAACCAATCAGAGCGTGAATTCATCAGAGTATCCCAGCGTCCTGTTTGCTGATTCGGCGGAGAATGTTGGACAACTCGTACCCGAGACAACTCGTGCCCGAGACAACTCGTACCCGGGACAACTCGTACCCGAGACAACTCGTACCCGTCGGAAAATAAAACACTGTGCAGCGTACTCGTATAATCATACTTATTTTCAACCAATTATTATTCAATTATTTCATTTCCGTTTTTCATTTTTAAGCTCAAGATTGCTATAGCTCCTTCCGCGAATTCGGCGAACTCCGCGATCATCGGCCAGCTGCCAGAATCTCTCCAGAACAATCTCTTGCTTGTCACCATTGGCAATTCCCCAAACTCAACGGCTTTTGGTTTTCCACATCTTCGGATTTGTCAATTACATCTAACTAAAAAGGAACAGAAAAGTAAATGGTAAGAAAAGTACAAGGTACGAGTCGTACCGGGTAAGAGTTGTCCCGGGTACGAGTCGTCTCGGGTACGAGTTGTCACAAATTTGGGGTACGAGTTGTCCCGGGTACGAGTTGTCCCGGGTACGAGTTGTCCCGATACCATACCATACCCTGCAGTATATGCTGGCTACTTCTGTGTTGCGAGTTAGCTCTCTAATAATTACTTTAAAAAAGGGAATATACATCATTTGCTTTTGCTGTAATTTTCAGTAATGGGTGGAATTGGGGGGTTGGAAATATATAGCAAATATAGTTACACTGACTTTTTTGAGGTTTTGGGTTCGAAAATGCTATAAAAACCAAGAAAAACAATCATTTTCCTGTAGTCTGGTTCCCTGACTCCATATATTAAGAAGAAACAGAGCAGTTTACATACATTGGGGAATTGTAAGGGAACCAGTCTAGCTGGCACGTACAGGTTTGTAATCGATTGCAAACAAGTGCGATGGTCAATTGGGGCCAGTATTTGAAAAAAAGCCAGTTTTTTTCCAACGCTGATCGGCCGATCAGCGTTGGAAATTGATACAAAAATACCACTTTTCTTGAAAATGACAGTAATGTTTCTTAAACTGATTTATTTCAACAACAGATAATGAAAAAAGCCATGTTGGACAGTACTGATTAACAGGAGATTCTGCAACAACTAGTATAGGTGGCAATGACAGGGATTTATAACTAATTATTGAAGCTGTATACATTAGCACTTATTTGAATTGATTAAAAAAGAGCCAGTCCAAAAAGCTATATAAGCGACACACTGATATATAGCAATTTTGTACACATTTTGCTATCCAAGTAATAACTACCTTCAAAAAAATTGCTCTGATGTCAATAAACCTTATGCGTAGCAGCCATCTTAGAGGGCAATGGCTCTGTGTTACTGGAGTATGTATGAGTGAACCTGTAACTGCAATTTTATTACATTTCAAATTTTCTCACCTTCATGTATAGCAATTCTGTGTCCCTTTGGTGTTTTTTTATTTGTGATTTTAATGAAGGGTGATAATACGCAACTACCTTTTCTCTAACTTAGGCCATCAGCCTGGGGGTTTGGCCAGTATCAAATCAGGGCATAAATGATTATAGTGCTCATGCGCAAGGTGTCCCGCCCCTAGAGTGGTAACAAGCATTTTGATGGACATCTTGGAAAAAAAAAGGTGTTAACACCCCAAAAGCTGCCACCGTTAGTGCTATCACATATTTTCCAACTCTGGAGATGAAAACCTTGCCAAAAATCGCTATGACGATTATTCCCCTCATTTGATACCGGTGGCCAAAATTGTTGACTGAGGCTGATGGCCTAACTGCGGTTTTCTATGCTGATAATTGACAGTGTTAATAAATTTACAATGGTTTTAGTTTAAAAAAAAAAGACAACTTAAAATGCAACAAAACCATACCTCATTAAAAAAGGTAGACATTTACCTAAAATTACAAAGCTACCAATTAATAAAGCATAAGATAATTCAGTTACAAATCAAAATATGATACATGCGTATTGATAAATAACATCCTATCGTTCCCATTACGGACGGTTGTCGAACAACCACCCAATTGCATCATGGGAAAGGGACAATTTCTTCATCAAAGACAAACCTAAATATTTATATTTCCACGCGTAGCCAATCTGCCGAATATCACAAAAAAAATATTTGGTTTTAACACACTAAGAATTGGTAACTAACTGGAAATACATCCTACGATTGCAAGTAACTATTTGTGTGAGCCTGGACTTTTAGCTTGGCAAGTACAGAGATCAATCACAAATTAAAAAAAATCTACAAAGCACGTGTTACCATTATAATTCCTTTAAAAAGACTACAAAACGAAAAACAAACTTTGCAAATGTTTCAACATATAGACACCTTTCAATTTGTCCAGAGGCACCCATTACGGGAGCCCAACAAATGGGGCTTTTTCGAATATTATACAACTTTGCTTAAATGTATAGAACACACGCATTACTAAAAGCTAGCTTTTTCACGACTAGTTCGTTAGGATAAAACGTCATTAATTTAATACAGTGTACACAAACATCAAAACAGCGCAATTTTATTCATAAAAATGTTTTGCCGTTCACTGAGAACGCTCTTGACTGCATGCAAGAAAGCTGTGTAACTTCACAGTACAATATACAGTGGTTCTTTTAATATACAGCATCTAAATCTAAGTACATTATAGTTCTACATTGACCATTCATAGAGTACACTAAAACTACGATTAGTTACGTTCATATTTGCCTAACAGGCCTTTACTTTTTACATCATCAAAATCAATTTTTATTATTAGAAGAAAGATTTAAGTGTTTAATTTTTGTTGAAGTTTCAAGACACCAAGTACTTTTTAAAATGTATTCAAATATTAAAAAAAAGGTTTTTATTTTCATGTCTCCATCAATACAGCTTTACAAATCCTTTCAACAATTCTGGTTTGACTTATCATGATCAATAAATAGTATAGCAACGCTCCATGATGTTACCATTTCTCAAACGCCGGGCAAACCAAATTCTTCTGTCCCAATATCTTGTTAGTGCAGCTTGGTGCTATTTAATAAGCTTTCAGTTGACATGTCACAGCTCTCCGCACCAGTCAACAGGGCCTGAAGCAGCTCATTAAAAATATAGCGATAAGCAACTCTGCATTGCAAAGCCACTATCAGCAGAGAAACTGTCACAAGCATAATACAGTGTATATCACATGACATTTTAGCAATATTTGTTTTGGCTCAATAGAATCGTGTGCTAACCTGCTCCAAGAAATGGCCTTAGAGGTCTACAAATTCTCCATACAAGGTTTGAAGCTCTTGCTACATTTAGCTATAAGTGTATACGGGGCTGTTTGCAAGTCTCATACAGTAACACCTTGCAAAATAATAACTTTCCTAAGACATCTTTAATTCCTGTTAATGTTAAGGTAAAGGAGACAGTTTTCTGTCATAAGTTATACCTTAGGGAGAAACCGGACATTATTTCAATCTCTCCTTAATGTCTCAACTCCTCAGAGACAGAATTCTATGTCTCAAATAGGCTAGATCAATTGCCTGTGGTCCAAATCATAAATATACCAATATTCGCGTGGGGGTAGGATAAGAGAAAATTGGGGTCAGGGGTCACTAAAGTTGGACAAAATTTGTGCACAATCCTATGGGGATGTCTCCCTAGGGTACAATTTCCCGTAATAGTGCAGATGTGTTCACAAAGCCAACAAGCTTCTTTGGGTTGGTTGGCCCATTCCAGAACAACTTGATCATATATGATCTTGATTTCGAAACCAGTCACACACCGTTGCATGGTACCTGTACATGTAGACATGGTAGAATCTCAACTTTGTACAGGGAATCTAAAAAGGACCTCCTACAAAACAATGCTTGCAAACAATTCTGCTAGCTTGAATGTTAACCCTAGACATTATATATGGTGCAGCGTTACAAAAGAAATCTAAAAATACATGTACCTCCATCACCGCAACAAAAGGTAACAGCTTTTCAATCAGTGGGTACCTTTCCAAAATCCAGGGTAACTAACATGTAACAAGTTCAACACGTTTTGGCATACAAACAAGTGCCTATCTACAAATATTTCTAAACAGTCACTCAGTATTGTTTGGAAATAAGATTTCAAGTTAAATGACAACAGTGGCTGAGCTGAAGATGCTAATATCTCTCTCTAAAAAAAAGATAAGGCTGTCATAACATTTGTACCATACAGGTTTTAAAATACAATTCTAATAAGTATGCGAAGGTTAATATTTCAACTGCAAACAGTCTAAACATTGCTTTAAGAGCGTCACATTAAAATAAAAGAATATCCCCCTAAAGGCCAAGCGGAATTTTAAAATAAAAGTCCTCTAGAAAATGTTGCTACTTTTTACAAAACAGAAGGAATTGGTTTCTCAACACCAAAAATGTAAATGGAAAAAAGTGGAATTCAACACCATATAGTGTCCACACACTGCTATAAAAAACGCCACTACTAAAGGCAATAATCACATGAATCTCGCAATAGATATTACAGTACTGGATTTTCAGTACTTAACTAGAGCTGCATTTCACACAAAAACAAACCATTTCCTTTTAATATCTTATCGGGAATATAACAGTAAAAATAATCGAAACAAATAAAATAAATTTAAAAATATGTTACATCTAACACTGATTTTATTTTTAACACTTTTGGATTAGACATCGGAAATCTCAAACTTTTTTTTCAATTTGGCATTTCTAGGAATGTTACTTTAGTGTCCCATTGCATCTACTTTGGAGCTAAGACTAACACGTGAAACACAAAATCAAACCTTTACTTTGCCTTTATAAGATAAAACCAAATACATGTACACACAATGACAGATGCAGTTTTAGAATACGTGAGAAACCGAGAATACTTTACAGTTGAGACCTTGCTTAGTCAGATTTCATCTAAGACCTTTAAGAATAAAATTGTCTCCCTTTTGAAGGAGAGACAGACAAACGCGTCCCTCCACGGCACAGCACAGCATACTCCAGTAGTTCAGGTAAATGGAAAAAAGATAAAAAGGGACGGGCAGAGACTAAAAGAACAACCCCCCCTTCTTCCATATCATCTCCACAGGATACACATCTGCAAAGCACTTAGTTGAGCTACTGGTTAAGGGTTTTTTGGGGGATGGGAGGGGAGCACGTTCTCATTCCTCAGACGAATGTTGAGTAGGCTGCCCCGCCTTGATCGGTGTCATCAGTCGGTCGTTGTTTCTTGTCGCCATATTGGCCGATGAAGGAGCCTTCCTCGTTGAACTTGCCCAGCTCGCCGTCGGCATACTCCTTCAGGCTGTCTGTGTCGCTGCTGCCCGGCTCGCTCGGTTGCAGACTGCCCTGAGATCCACGTGGCAGTTCCCCATCTTTATTATCCCTGAATCACGGCAGGAAACGATACAATTGATTAATTATTTATACTAAGCATCAATTTCATGATACAAGGGCATAACAACAAATTGTATCTCAAATTCCAACGGACAATCCAAAGTAACTTACGATATTACTATAATGCGTCGTGTGCCCGGCAGAAGGGCATATGTGCATATGCCCTTATGCAATAGCGCGTAATCACCAAAATGTTCCCAGCAAAAGGGCATTTTATATGCAGAAAAATGCCTCTAATTTTAATGAAATTTAAACATTTTCGTCAGAAATTAATACAAGTTGTTCCTAAACTTATGATTCATACGTGTGACAAATTTCAAATTCGTACGATTTATATTACGTGTGGGAGAACATTGGATACATAATGCGCGCGGGGGAACAATGGAACCTTTCAATGCAAGTTTCCTGAAAATGATTTTTTGCTTCAGAACGCTCATATGCCCTTCTGCCGGGCACCCAACAAATGAGTGAAGGGCCAGGGCAACAATGCGGCACTCATTGTAATAATGACAAGTCTTGGTAAAAAAAAAAAAATCACAACTTAATGCTAATTTTAACTTTTCAACAAGGGCTCATTAGACAGTCAAGTTATGAAATATGCCACCAAACTATTTGAGCGATGATTCTTAGCTGAATATCCAATGACTATTTATTGTTCATAGAGTAAACACAGACAGTTAATACTGTGTTTTATGTGCAATATGCAGTTCCTGCATGGCGTTCAGATTCAATAATAGCTGCATTAGAATGTTAGATTTCACTTGGTACAAATTGATACGCTAACACACACTATCATGCAATTTAAGTGCATGCATCTGTAGCAGCAGGTTCAATAGCACTTTAGGTACACGTGTAGGTCTGTATAAGTCTTCTCTACTGTTTGTCTAAGATGAACACAAACTTACTTGCTAGGTTCAAACTCCTCGAATCCATCCTCATCTTTGAGAGGCGTGCTCTCTATGTCACCCTTACGCTGCTGCTCCTTATCCGACACTGTTAGACAATAATATTCAACTTCATGTCAGAACGACTCAAACAAGAGAAAGAAAAGAACACTAAGGTGACCTGAGCCTGTAGAACACACTATGCAAATTCCAAGATAAGTGCCTTAAAGTTTGAGTAAGGACAACTGTTGCCACAGGGGTTGGCATTCATTTGACTGGGTACAAGAACAAAATTCGCATTGGAAAACAAATCAAGTTGGAGTACTCGTAAGTTTGTGTTGATTACAGCGGCCTCATCACCGAAGAATACTTAATCAATCAATACCCTAACGGAAAGTCGCAATCTGAAAAATCATTCCACAATACAGATGTGATGTTCACACATTTCGACATTTCAACAAAATGTTTTTCAATTTGTTTAGATACGATTAAATACACCTCAGAGTTTTAAAATGAGACCTTGTGTTTATGCCACCTTCTCTGGAGTTCAATTTACAAAGCATGTCCATAATCCTGTTCAACTGCTTAATGTACTTGAAGCAGCTAAACCTCTAACCGAGGATGTTAATTGAAACAACAATGTCAATGAATGATCATTACATGTATCTTTCATGTCAATCATAACAGTATACAACTCATTTTGTTTGACGGTTTCAATGCACCACTTGGCCAAGATTAATACTCAGCGCCTTGCCTAGATGCAATTGCACACTTACTGGGACAGGCAGCAGGCTTTGTAACTGTTGCCTAAAACCTTGAGCACTGAAACGGTGCTAGAAAGCTCCACTTTAGTTTTACTATATGAAACGCTTTAATCCACATTTTATTGAAGATTTCAAAGAACCAGTATCAATCTTTCAAGTGGGGTAGACTGGGAACTAGGTACCCAATTTGAAAAAAAAAACGCGTGCCTGTTGAGAAACCCAACCCCAACATTCAAATCTCGGATGTTGAAGTTCAGATTGTTCATAAATGAGCGCACAATAATACCTACCACATCAATGCAGCAAGCTACAAGCGTGTACAATGAGCATATCTCTACCCTGATAACGTTCGCGAGCATCATAAACGTGAAACATGTTTTAACTTACCATGTGGCCTGTTTTTTATCTCAAAAATTCCCCACAAATGACATTCAAAACGTTTCTTTTTCAATGTCTGAGAAATTATAAAGTAATTTGTATAGTTGGTTAATACGGGTACCGGATCCAACAACCTGGAACCGGTTCTTAACATCAACGGTCGGGTACTCGGGTACCTGGTTCCACTGCACAGCCCTACTAACAAGTGGACTAGGTTGTGATTCCTGCTTCCTCAGACATTGTAGTCCTTACCATTGTACTTTCCTCCTCTCTGGCTCTTGAGGATACAAAGCACCAGCAGGATGCAGAGGAGAGCGACGATGATGATGAGAAGGACGATGAACCATCCCTGAACATAGATGGGAGAGGCCCTCTGAGCAGCTGTGTAGTGACGGGAAGAACAAACAAACAAAATCAACAAACTAGAAAAATACATACAATACATACAATACATACAATACAATACAATAAAGTCATTTATATAGCGCTCTTACTCAAAGATGGTTTCACAGCGCTGAACGATAAAAAAATCACACCAAAAAAAAATATGCTGAACATTAACAAGAAAATTATGAAAACATGAATCTCAATCAAATAAATATGTCTTAAGGGTCTTTCGAAAGACATACCAAGATTGTAGCATCAATGAATGAGAACGTGTCCCGGACAATTATGATTTCGATATCAATTCAAAACATGACTCGGTAACTTTTGAATTGATATTGATTGGTTGATTGAATTGATTTTCCCAGAATAAACAGCATTCACTGAGCTAAATGTTCATCAGGTTCGTTGTTTATAAGCACCCTTCTTTATACATGTATTTTGAGCACTTCTGTTGCTTAAACGAAAAACATGCACAAATGATCAATGATAAACTCTATCTTTAATGTCAAATCACAAATTAATCATGGTCCAAATAAGTCAATCATCACAAGTCAGTTTACAAGTAACAGGGGAGGAACAATGACATTGGAATCATGTCTGCTTCATTTTATATATGCCTGTCACCTCTTTTCAGCGAAGATGACTTGGGATTGACTCGTAATGACTTGTTTACAACTCGTTCATACTATGTACACATTGCCCAGGAAACATCTGACTAAGAGAAGTACAAAAAATGTGGAAATTTGTCTGGCAGGCATGAACAGTACCCGGTACTTATGTCCATGTGCTTAGAATTTGTACCGGTGTCACATGAAAATCCGACTCCTATGAAAATCGGACCCCTATTTCCCTATTATTGGTTGATCCCTCGCACATGACAGGTCACTCTCCCGAAACGATCCTAATAATAGCATAGTATCGTACTCATGCATGCGCAGTACTACCAATGAGTCCACATTTCATGGAGTCGGATATTCACGCTACACCGGTACCATCTACAGGACAGAGTTATTGCAAAAAATCTCTAGTGTGCACCCAGTCTTCTCTACAAATGATCAGTTATCTGATGATGACCACTGTTCCCCTGTGTATTTGGCCTGGTACATGTATGTACATGTACATCTCATATCCTATGAAACAGAATGTGCTTTTATGTACTTAGAATATGTACCGGTACATAGGACAGAGTTATTGCAAAAATCTCTAGCGTGCACCCAGTCTTCTCTACAAATGATCAGTTTATATCTGATGACGACCACTGTTCCCCTGTGTATATGGCCTGGTACCGGCATGTACATGTACATCTCATATCCTATGAAACTGAATAAGGTTTTTACATGTACTCTTTTAATTCAAGTGTAATGAGTGATTACAAGTGAAATATTACGTAATATATGAAAGTTTACTTAAATTACGTTTTAGCTACCGTAAGTGAGGCATTTGAATTGTTTCATTGTTTCATGTAGAGTGAGTGCTTCTTAACTACTTTTGCTGTATTTTTGCAGACACTCAAAAGGCATTTTCACACCATTGTCTCTTAAAAACAACACAGCTCCATCGTGAGCCGAAACGGGTGCCTTTTGTTTTTTTTGCTCATGCCAATTTCCATATTCATGAGCAAAAGTGTGATGTCATTTCATTTCAGGCAGAAACTTCAATGTTACAGATATTTCAGCACCAACAGTTGCCAGAATTCTGGATATTTTGTGGAACATTGTAAAGTTTCTTTTCGTTGGTGATTCATTGTCATGTCAGTACATGGAAGTAAGCCAAGGAGCAAACTTTTCTCACAAATGTTTTCAAAGAACACATTTTTGGGTTCACAATGTGAACAGAAAAACCATGAACTGAACAGTGCAGGGTCCCCACATCAATCTGCAAACCAAATTTCATGACTTTTCTAGGACTTTCCAGGACTAAAATATGACAATTTACATGACATTTATTGCCACTTTGCAGAGAAATGCACTCAATAAAATTAACCCCCCAAAAAAGGATTGTCAAATAATGTACATACCGGTACGTTTAGGAAAGTAGAAAGTTGCACAAAATGTATTCCTCAACAAAATTAATCTCACGGACTTTTTTAAATACAGAAATTAAACTAACAACAGTGCCCCATGCTCTTACCGCCTGCAAGTGTCTTGACTTTTTCTTCGTCTCCAGATACCTCTCCTGCATCATTCACAGCCACAATGGTCAGCAGATACTCTGTGCCGGGCTCCAGTTCAGGTACATTGGTCATGCTTTTATCCAGCAGGTCTACGCGCTTAGTCTCCTGATATTCTGCCTCTGGGTCGTCTTTGGGGTACAGAGAAAAAAAAACACAAAAACATTAACACTTATCAAGCACAGTAGAATTTTGTTACAACCCACACACTAACATCAGCAAAGGATTTGTTGTAATTTTTGCTGCTAATGCTTTAGTTTCATTCGCTCTTTGCACACTCCCGCCATAAGCATGAAGAGCCTCGATCTGGTATTACTAAACACAATAAATATAGCCTGTTTAGTGATTCCCGTGTCGGGGTTCAGTGATTCCAGTCTATACACGGGAATATATTTTTATTGTGTGAAATTGCCCGATTGAGGCTCTGCATGCTTATGGGGGAGCGTGCAAAGAGCGAATTGCACACAAAATGTGCAACAACTCGGAACGTTCATTTTAGCCAAATGTTTGGTGTAGTGTTGTTAGTTATAATGTACCCAGTTATGATTTTTCTCTTAGAAACCTGGTCCTACACCTTTTGCTATTGAAGCAAGCACTGGATTTTGTTGAATATCACATGCTATATCATTTACATTGAAGGTCACCAGAAGAAGGCGGTTGCTACTTGCCAAAACATCGTCAGAGACAACGTGAAAGTGAGTCCAGAATTTGAAATGTAATTTGCAACATGCTATATCTTGTTTAATACGCCGTTTTCAAATTACTTAACGTTACAACATAATTTTTGAAAGATCTTATCCTTTTAATTGCACTGTACATCACATACATGTAGTTTTTAACCCTTGGCCGAGTAGAACCACAAACATCTCCATTCCCTTTCAATTGTGCGATTCAATAATAAAAACCATATTTTTTTCAGAGCACGAGCAGGCTCAGTTTAAAATCACTGCTTACACTGTGAATGATGTGACCAACAGCTCAGGCCACTCGATTTTCCATAAACAAGCTAGTTTTTTAAAGCACATCCTCTTCTGATTTGCTTTTTATTTGTTTATTAAAAGGATCAAGGGCATACGCGGCTAACAAACAATACAATCCTTTTGGACTGCAATGACCAATGCCTGGTGCACGTAATTAGCAGAATTGCCTGGAGCTCTGCAGGTCAAAAGGATAGCACTCGATCGGGATAAAAGCAATATGTTCATTAGTGACAAGGTTAAAAATATCAACATGATGAGAGAAATGGCAGAGGATGCAACTACCGTGAAATGTCAAGACAACACATGATACACATGGAAACGATTTGTGGCATGTCCAAGATGCATAAATAGTGTGTGATATCAAAGAGAACACACTTGCAACTACAGAAGGTAGGAGAAACGCATGGCTAATCATTCCGAATGAAGAAAACTTATGTTAATACATACACATACTGATGAAACCGTCATTTTAAATGACTCATTTCTGTACAAGATTTTCCCTCTTGATACCATACATATGTACCGATACATCAAGGTACCGGTACCGTACATGTATTACCCTTTTATTTAAAAATAACTGCATGTATCACCTTGAGTGTTTAATTGAGTACCACGAACAGCTGGGTCCAAGTGAGAAAAGAAATGAAGGAACACAAACCCAGACTTGTGATCTAATTACTATCTTAATATGTTATCTCTGTGCCAATACGTCAATGACACCAGAAACTTTGCACCCTCTGCATTGGTAATTAATAATATACATCTGGTCCTAATGCAAAGACTGTCATTTCATGGTAATAATCTTAAAGCTAGAGTCCATCATTTGCAGCTATAAAAAAGGTAACTGGCGTAATTATTGTTGAAAAACATTGGTTGAAAGATAGTAAGGCGACTACACTCCCTGTGAAATTATTCTTTCTGGCTGTCATTTTGAAGTAATCAATGAAAGAAGGCCTTTCCAACGGTGCGTCTTAAGAAGCACCGTAGGAAATTCAAATTAGTAGTTTGTTTTGTTATTCGGCGAAGCGCGCGAAAGCGTTGACACGACGCACACGGTTGCTATAATTCTTCGGATCAGCGCGCGACTACAATCGCGTAGCTGCAATTGGCTCAGTGAGAACGTGTCTCGGATGCTGGAGTCAGGCCCAATTCAAAACATGATTCAGCAACTTTTGATTTTAAACGAGATCCTAGAATGTTGTTTCTCTCGAAATATACAGCTTAAACTGAGCTGAAAGTTTGTCAGGTTAGTTGTTCAGCACCCTTCTTTAGATTTTGAGCACTTTTGTTGCTTCAAACAAACAAAATGCACAAATTACAAATGATGGACTATACTTTTAACCCATTAGCACCTGCTCTACATTGTATAACATTGTGTTTGTTCATTGAAGCATGAATAAAACTGCAGAGAGCTTGGGTGGTTTCGTGCCAAACAGTGATTAAGGATTCATCCCTATAGCATTTCATTTTGCTTTGGACCTTCCTGTTCCTTTCAGAATCAACGCTTTACATTATTGTGAACATGTTTTGGAGTGACATTTAAAGGGACTATACAACATTTGCAAACATCGAAAAATAAAACTACCAAGTTTTTCCAAATACCTAACTGGGATGTTAGTAAATGACAGTCTAAAGCATCCTGTAAAATTATGGCCTCTGGAGTGAAGTCATTTTCAAGAAAATTGTATTTTTGTATACATTTCCAATGGTGGTCGGCCGACCACCGTTGGAAAAACCTTACTATTTTTCAACTGCTGTTCCAAATTTACCTTTTTTTTCAGTCCAAATTTTTAGTTACATGTTAATGAACAGGTGCAAGCCAGCTAGACTGGTTCTCTTACCTTACAATTTTCTGGCATCTATAAATTAATCCATTTTATCTTTAGTGGAGGCAGGGAACCAGACTACTTCAACATTTTTGTTTTTCTTGGTTTTTCCAGCATTTTCGAACCCAATATTTCAAACATGTCAGTGTAACAATATTTGATATACATGTATTATACTAACCCCTCAAATACTTCATTGCTGAAAATTACAACAAAAGCCAATGATGTACATTTCCTTTAAACATTTCACTAGATGACATACACTTGCCCTGCTATCACTCTATGATAGTTAACATGAATGGGTGGTGTCTACGTAAGTGTACATGTATGCAGACACCGCAGCTCAAGCTAAGTACCAAATGTAGACAGAAATACAAATGTACATGAATAGCAAAGACCTTGGCTTAGGGATGGTCAGTTTTTTCTCATCAACAGTAATTCCTATTTATAAGCAAAAAGGCAATTCCACAGAGATGTGGACGCCGCTGGAAAGTGGAACGTTGATTAAATTTTAAGAACTACAAGCGCCACAACCTGAAATGTGTTATGAAATTAAATAAATGGGGGCAACAAGACCTTTCATTTGAGTGGTATGGCACAGTGCCAGTGAGATGGAATGTTATGTTAAGGGTGTGGGTTTTTTTTTAAGTAAAAGAAGAACACATATTTTGGGCTAAATATATGGAGCTCTGGTAGTCAGTTTGGCACCTTGTTTTAAAATGCAAAATTTGAGTGTTATTGTCAGTTTTTGTTTATAAGGCAGAGAGAAAGGTTGATATTAATATGCCAAAAGAGATTTTTCTTTTATTATGAGCTTGTTCCAAAGATGGGTGGACAAAATCCAACATAACTAACCGTAACATACATGTATATAAACCAAGATTTTTTTGGAAATTGAAAAATGTTTATATACATGTACCTGTAACTATTAAGCAGATACATAAATACTATAATTTGTTTCAGGTATATCCCATTTGAGGAAACTTTTTATTCAAAGACATCTACTTTTTATCCTGTCCTTTTTTTGTGACGTACATGTACATGTAACTAACCAAGACATACCTGTCCTATTACAATTCACACAACATGTATCATGCATGTTTTTCCAATGATTTTGCTTACGGCTGTGATAAAAGTCCTAGTATGGGATGGTACCAGAAAGGAGAATTGATAGCCACAGGTTGATATACTGGTAAGAGCCCAACGAGCTGGCTACATTGCTTAAAATGTAACAAAACTAACTGTTGAATTGCCCAAAACAATATCACTAATTTGTTTCCATAGTCCAGCGGATATGTGAAAAAATTGTGCACTTTTGCATAAAAGCGTGAAACTTGGCACAGATGTTTATATTCATGCGAGAAAATGTTTTAGATGTGGAGCCATTCCAAATTTACCCTTTTAGGGGCGTGGCATCCATTTAAAAAAAGGGGGCAGGACTTGTCGTGCCCGCAGTAAAAATGGTTTTTCCCACTTGCTACAAAAGCAGGAAACTTCACAAAGACATAATTATATAGATTATTAGTGTTTTCCAGATTCGGAGCCACCACAAAAGTACCTTTTTAGGGGCGTGGCAGCCATTACAAGAAAAGGGGGGGTTTAATTATTATGCCCACTTTGGAAAACATTGTGCCCATATTTCATGAACGAATAAAACGTCCCACAGACGTTTATATTCATGAGAAAACAAATTCCAGATGTGGAGCCATCTCAAACACACCCTTTTAGGGGCGTGGCAACCTTATAGGGGAAAAAAGGGGGGGCGGGGTTTTCATTATGCCCACCCTGGAAATATTGTTCCCACACTCATAGAGAAATGGAACTTTCCACAAACATTGACATTCATGAGAAAACAAATTCCAGATGTGGAGCCATCTCGAACACACCCTTTTAGGGGCGTGGCAACCATATAAGGAAATAAAGGGGGGCGGGGTTTTCATTATGCCCACCCTGGAAATATTGTTCCCACATTCATAGAGAAATGGAACTTTCCACAGACATTGACATTCATGAGAAAAACAATTCCAGATGTGGAGCCATCGCGACCACACCCTTTTAGGGGCGTGGCAGCCATATTGAAAAAAGGGGGGGGCGGGGTTCTCATTATGCCCAACATGGGAAAAAATGTGCCCACATCTCATAAAAGAATAAAGCTAATTCCCACAGATATTAATATTCAAGAGAAAAAAAAAGTCACACGTGAAGCCATCGTAAACACACCCTTTTAGGGGCGTGGTAGCCATAGTAAAATGGGGGGGGGGGGGGGGGTAGTCATGATGCCCCTATAAAAGAAAGTTCTTATGTAGAGCCACAGCAAACTCATCC